AAGGTGTGCCTTAACCTCACTGAGCTGAGGTTATTTGAGCCTCTCAGGAGAGAGCTCTCTTCCACCTGGTTGTAGAAAAGCTCTTTAAATTCGTTAGCATAGCTAGCTAACCAGATGCTAATAACAACAGATCGCCACTGTGCTTACAACTAAAGACACAGCCTCGCAAACACTGCGGCATGTGTACGGCTCCTTATGGGTACTGCAGTATTTGAAGAGCTGGAGCGGCGTTCCGATGCTCTCCGTTACACCTTCCAGACGAGACATAACCACGTGAAGACCAATGGTGAAGACACGTTACGCTCGTGTTGTGTTCAATGAACCTGTCCTTGGCCAGGAAAAACAGGCACTCGCTTGTTTAATTATTTTTGCGATCTAGATTTCTTCTTCTTTTTTGAAGTGAGAAGTTCGGACTGACGGACCCCCCCCAAAAAAATGAAAACTCTTCGGTTCTCCACGAATTACACAAGTCACCCAAATCAGCGTTAAAAAAGCGGGAGGCGCCGAAAAGCGACTAATTTGCATCACTGTTCATAGTCTTACATGTCAGGATGGCCTCTGGAGGCGTGGGTTCGAATCACACTTCTGACAATACTTATTTTTCTTCGGTAAACACAATTTCAAATCTGGATTAGTTATAACAAAACAACTGCTTCTCATGTAACACATCCACAAATTGCAGGCTCAATGGGGCACTTAGACACTTATATTGCTGTACTATCGGTAAAATAAACTTAAAACACATTTCCACATTATGGGTGAATAGAGTGGCGAAGTCCCTCCCTTTCCGGTGGAACCTTATTTTGGAAAAATGAATTATTACAAAAACACTTTATTTGAATTACATACTATAGTTCAATTTTTTAAAAAGTGTCTGTATTTGTGCAACTGTTGGACTTATATGTACATTTGAACCAAAATATTTTTAAACATTTCATTAATAAAAGAAAGAATAAAAAAAGTACTTTTGTAACTGAAAAGCTATCTGCATCCTTACATTGCTGAAATACAGTATTGAGTTTGTAATCGAAACACCTGCAGACAGTTTTTTGATAGGCTTAGGTAAAGTTGGTTGTACCATTGAACAGCAGGGACGGATAAATGACTATTTGAACAAACATGGATCAACAGCACCCTCTAGTGGTGGTGGTGGTGAACTGGATTTCTTTTTTTAAGGGTTCATTTCAGGATTTTTTTCTGCTTTTCCACACCCCTAAAGAAATTCCATTACATCACAAGTTAAGTTAATAAAGTATATAAGAACAAAATAAAATGTACCAAGGTTCAAAGTAGCTTTTTTTATTTAGATCAACACAAAAGCCGTAATGTAAAACACTGCAGTTTTTACTGCCCTACTTCATCTTTCGTGGACATAAAGCACTTAACAGTTTAACGTAGAAACACAAATGAACACATCTAAACGCTCAATAACATTATTAATGTATAAACCCTGTATGAGGATAACTCCTCATTTAAATAATAAAACAGTTTACCAACTCAGATTGCTTCCGCTTTAAAGTAACATAGCGCAGCCGACATAATCTAACTGAGGTATTCGTTAACAAAAGAATGTATAAAATATGAATAAAAATAAAAATAAGTTAACATAATACAATCTCAAGGCAAAGAGCTGGGATTCAATATTTAGCTAAAATATCCAACAATCAGCATCTCACTTTGATAAATCAGAGTGATTGGGAATCGCTGTTGAGTTGCTTCCACCACGACAGAAAACCTGGAACAGAAGATAACAAAGTGACCGAACTGTACATTACTGTAAAGCTACAAACATGATAAGCAAGAGGCAGTGATATACCATGTTTTATGACATACTATATTATATTTTAAGACAAAGGAAACTATTACGTAGTTGACATGACACTTTGTATGACTTTCTAATGGCATGCTGTAGTCTGATTTTTTTATGACGCCTTAAAGAGCAACTTGCAGGCTAGAACCCCTAGTGAATAAATGTGTAGGAAAATGATGAATACACTAGATTTTCTAAAACATATACAGAAATATACACTACAGTGACATCTGGCGTGGTTTTTGTAAGACATTTTTACTTCCGCATAAAAAAAGACCACCCGCGTGTGACGTCACATGGGGGAGAGCGGCCGGTCTAACGCATTAATAAACATGGATCACAATGCTAGTTTTGACACAGAAGAGGTTGAAAATGTATATTCGAATGCATATGACGGACCACAACCTACTAATTATGAGACCAGGAGCAGCCAAGGATTAGAAGAAATAACGGCCATCGGAGAGAAATGGAGCTGTGGTGTGAGGAGAACCAGTGGAGAACTGGGCAGCTATCTTGGTGAGTGACCGGCGTTAGCTACAGTTAATGTTAGCTAACGTCACATCACAACATTGTGAAGTTAGCTATCATATATCAGGCTATAACTAAAGTAGTATTGATAATATAGTAACGTTACTGGCAGGACTGTTGATACTGATCCATAACAGAAACTAATGCGCAAATATCAGCCGTATCTCGCGTTACCTAATGCAACTCCACACTACGGTGCTGTTTACCGGAGATAAATGTTTTGTTTGATAGGCCTCAGCTGTGGAGAGTATGTGCTGCAGGGAGGTGGATGCACCTCACACAACGCACCCAGGAACGAAAGCTAGCTCTGGTCCTTTTCCTGTTAGTGTCAGGGCATCGAGTCCACAGTTTCCCTGACAGGCTGGAGTTTGTGCAACTTGCACAAACTCCAGCTCACCATGATTAATAATGGTGAAATGCAATGTAAAATGACCGAAAAAATACCAGCTCACTAAATCACAACGGCTCAAATCAACTACCAACTACTACCGTGGATTGGGCAGAGAACGAGTGAGAGAAAGTTGCTCCCCCATGTGACGTAATATGACGCGTTTGACGTTAGCAGAGCTCAAAACGGCTCCTTTCCCTGTGAATTCCTGCCCTTATGTCTCGTAAAACATATAAAATCCTGCATTAGTATTTACTTACATCTCTGTGATGTAGACACGAGAACCAGTGGCAACTCCGGCTCTGATTCATCAGTAGAGTCAACCAAGAGATCTGACTGATCGTCGGAGCCTTCATCTTCCAGACCGAACTCTTCATCACTCTCGGGGCAACGAGAAATCTGTTCCTGGAGCCTGAATCTATCAGAAAAATAGTTTTTATAAATAGAGTATTCATTGATTTCCAAAGCAAAATATGTGGTTAGCTGAAGACAGCTCATTAAAATGTCCCTACTGAATTAAAGTCATTATGATTTTTTTTTTTTTAAACAATGACCCAAAAGTAATGGCTAATGAAAGAAAGTGGTATTTATTTTATACTGCCTGAGTTAAATTGGAATGGTGTGTTTACAGTGTATACAGAATATAAATTATTGTTAGATGGTGAAAATTGGACTGACTAGTGGCTTCAATGAAAGTGTAATAAAAACAAATAATAAAAGCTTACGTCTTTCTCAGTATGTGGTCGGTATATTCGGCATATCCAGCATCCACCAGCTCCTTGGCCACATGGACGCCATCTGCCAGAATGTCCACCTTCCAGTGTGTGTTCGACACAAACTCTCTGAAGAACATCTGGAGGCTCTTCTGGTAAAAACACTGCTGGAAGAAGACCGCAGCTTCATCGCTCCACTGGCCACTATCCTCACCTACTGGCTTCACCCCTTGCAGGATACAGGGGAACGTTACTTTTGGGGAGTTTGTTAGCTCCTCAGGAAGCCTCTTCAGCTGGGAGCATTCTTCGTACGGGATGCATTCGTAATGGCCGTAATCGACAAGGTACAGGACCGCTGTGGTGTCAATGTTTACGATTTCAGCTCTGCACCACTTGTCCTTGGTGTCTGATTTAAACAGGCAGCAGGTCCCACGGACGATATGGGCTTCAGGAAGAGAAGACATCGGCTCAGGGAGGTCCTCCAACATTATGGAAACTTGGTTTGTGACGAGAAGCAGGTCGTCCGGAACAACGCAAAACTCCATGGGAGTCGTCACTTGAGAAGCAAAGCCTGAATACTCTTTATATAAATCAATAGAAGCAAAGACAAGCTGCCTAGGCGGGTTTGTGTCCAAGTTGGATTCTCCTTCTTCTTTAATGTCAGCTGGTGAAGAGACCGTCTCTTTATTCTGCTGCAGTGAATGACTATAGAGGAACAGTCCATTCATGACTATTTCAACCTTCCACAGTTGATTAGCTTCTGATCGAGACACAAAGACAAGTTTGACTTCTTTGCCAATCATTGGTTTGAGAGTTTCACACCAAAATTCATGAGCATCTTCTGCCTCACTGAACCCAAGGCAGTTCATCTTGCACAATAATGCAAAGTTCTGGATTTGTGTCAGCATACTACACTGTTGTCGGATTGAGCAACTTTGAACTTCTTGTGTTATTCCATGATCCACGAGGAGGACCTGGCATTTTCCCTCGTCTACAACTTGAACAACAGCCCTTTGCCACTTTTTGCCATGGTCTACCTGGACCAAGCACTTGAGGTCTTGTTTGACATCCTCTTCAGCCAAGATCTTGCACATGGATGGGTTTTCAGAAATACAATTTTCCATTAGAGCAAGCAGTTCCCTGGTGTCATTTAGTTGGATGTAAAAATTGCCATTGCTCAGGACTGACACAACTCTACCACTCTTTGTGTCTCTAACTTGAAGAGGTGGAGGCATGATTTTATCCGCTTTGACAGTCGGTTCCAGTGTTTGGTTTTCACCATCAAGAGAAGCTCTTTCAGATTGAGTTGTTTGATTCTCACTCACTTCTTGTCTCATGTAGTTCTGCTCAGAGGATCTCGCTTTCTCTTCTTTTTTAGATGAATCTGCATGAAACGCCTCTTCCTTTTTGGTTTCAGAGGTACTTTCAACATCTGCTTCAAGTGCCGTTGGAAGACCAGCAGCTTCATCAATAATTTGAAACTTGACTACCCAATGGGACTCTTGATGGGAGACAAATTCAACCATGAGAGGCTTTTCCATTACAGCATCAGTGAAAGAAGCATCATTTTGGTACATGCTTGTGTCCATCAAGGAGCATGATATGCTGAATCTTGGCTGAGAGAGATACTCCTTTGGTACGGAGTAGGTCTTCTCCTTCTCGATGACTGCAGAGTTTCCATAGTCCACAAACTCAACTTTGATACAGGAATTTCCATCACAGTCCGTCACAGCAGAGCGATACAGAGAGCCGTCTTCCTCAAACTCAGCCAGAACGATGTCATTGACTCTCAAAGAGGTGGTAGTCTTCAAGGTTTCTCTGAAACTACTCAAGTTGAGATCTTCACCCATTTTCAAGATGGAAGGTTCATCCTCCGACAGTTGAAGGTAAAAACTGCTGACTGAGTCGATGTGGGAGACAAAACACTTCACCCTGAAACCTGCGCTCACACTTCTGTTTTGTAAACGCGAGCATCTAGGGATCTCCGATTTTTCTGTAATTTGTGGTTGATTTGAGTTTGTGTTTGTATAGGTGCACTCTCCTTGTTTTTCAACCCTTGCGTTTGTGTTCCGAGTTTTTCCATGAACTATTTTTACCAGGTTCTCTTTATTTTTGCAGGGAACCATTCTAGCTTGAGTACTTCTGTAAGCATCCAACTTGCAGGAAGAATCTGAAGATGCTTTCTTGCACTTTATTGAATCCTTGGTGTTGGGTCTTTGATGAGTTTTGTGGTTTTTCTTTCTGCTGCTCACGTCAAAAGTCACAACAGTCTTTGGCGTCTGTGAATGACTAAGAATCAGCTCTCTAACCTTCTCATTGATGTTAACATCTCCATCAAAAAGTTCAACAACCAAAGAGCCATCTTTGTACTTTCCATTTACGACGGCTCTTACTTGCTTGTTGAGGATTGCACCCTCAAGCCAATCTTTGACATCTGCATAGAGCGGTTCCTTGGACACAGAAGCAAGGTGGCATTTCAAAGCCTGCATGGGTGTGCACAACACATCCATAGAGTCTCTGGGGATACACATGACATTGGTTTTCTCAGATACGGTTGCATTTCCATAATCTACAAAAAACACGTTGAGATGCAGAGGTGACTGAACAGGTTGTATCAAGCCCCTGTACCATTTGCCATCCAAGTATTTTGCCAGGCACAGCTTTGTCACTGCTGTCGTACTGGCTTGCATAATTTTCTCACTCTCTGTTGAAATGTTATTTTCAAGTTCATTGACGATATCAGTGTTTCTGTCAAGTTGGCAGTAGACTTCCCACTGACTGCCTACATGAGTGACGTGGACTTGTTCTTCATTTCCAGGACTTATATCATATGAAGAGTAGACGAAAGTCTCCGGAAACACTATGGACTGTTGCTTTGTTGACAATACTGCTTCTTTTGGCAGGCCCAGATCCCCCAGATTAGTTAAGGTCTTATGAGTTTGGATGTTGTAGAGTTGAACAACACTGCACAGTCCTTTGTTCTTCACATTGAACTGGGAAACAACTTGACATCTTAGACCGATGGGGGTGTCAAGGACAAAATCGCTCATCAACTTGCACTCCGGACCGCAATTCCCAATTTCATCGGGGCCAGTAGGTTTGATCGGGGTGCTAAGGCTGCATCTGAAAGCTTGTCCTTCCAAATGAACGAATTCTGGCTTTATTGCCTGAAGACTGTGCTCCTTGATGCGGATGGTCAAGCCGTAGTCAACCAACATCACTGTGGCATGGCCATTATGTTTCTGTATGATGAAGGCTCTGTACCATCTTCCGTCGAGAGGTGACTTGGCAATACAACAAGAATCCCCTGATTGGAGGGGAACTGTGTGGGTTGAGTAATATCGATTCACTTTATCCATCAGTTCCTCCAAAGCTGGAACCTTATCTTGCCGCTGGCACCAGAAATCTGATGGAGACTTGATGCAAGTGCAACACACAGCAAAGATATACCCAGGCTTAATGCTTATGGCTTTGAATAAAGCAGGGGCTTGCACCTTCTCAGTTGGATTTTTGTAGGTCTTCTCTTCCTCTGCACAGTCCCTCAATTGCTCTGAATTCCCAGTGATGTCTGGAGTCACACGATGCTTGGGACCACTTGTTTTTTCCGTGAAAGTTGTATTGTTTTTCACCCCAGGCTCTAGGTCAATGTTGTTCCAGTATTGAGCTTGTTTGGAAGAGATCAGGAGCTCAGTGATACTTTGATTGTTGTCATCTCCCACGACAGAGAGATCAACCACACATTTGTTTTTTCCCTTTTGGACAATGTGGACTAGCAGGGCCTTGTTTGACACAGCTCGTCTAAAAAAGTCTGTTTTGGCGGTAGTCCAGAATTCATCCATAGGAAAAACATTAACAAGAGTACAACAGAAGGCAAACGCAGCTTTTTTGGCCAATGTCTCAGGTATCTTCTTGATCATCATGCGGGGCACTTTCTCAATGTTTCCAAAATCGATAAAAAGTACTTCAGATCCATGCTCAAGGGACTCCGCCACTACACACCTGTAGAAATGCATGTCTTCTTCATAAACTGCACAGCACAGTGTCCCAGGCTCAGGATTCAACAGCACGTCTTCATCCAGCTTCACTTGACTGTAGTTATCTGCCATTTTTGTCATCATTTCTTCAAACTCATCATTGAGTTTTTGTGATCTGATCCAGAAGATGTTTGGATTCTGGACATGCTCGATATAGCCCACAAAGACAGAGTCTACATCCAACTCTTCTTCTTTGAGTGTTTTAGCCATTGCTTCGCCCATGATTGTTTCACAGTTTAAATAGCCACACTGCGGTGGCTTTTCTTCCATCTCAAAAACTGAGGGAACTTTCATTTTAGGAAGCTCTTCAGTTGGCTTAGGTTCAGCCACTTGATTTTCCTCAGCACCAATTACTGTGATAGAGTACAGGTGCTGTTCTTCCTCAAAACGTTTGATCTCCACATCTAACACTTTGCCAAGCAAGCCTGCCTTTAGAAAACTCAACTGCTGAGTTTTCACCGCTTCAACCTCCTCACCCAGGGAGAAGAGCGAGCATGGGAATGACATGATGGGTGTTGAAAATAATTCAGGTGGCAACCTGTAGACGTTTTCAACTTTGACAGATTCAAAGAATCCGTAGTCAATGTACAAAACTCGAACTTGAGAGTTGACTGGAAGAAACTGCACAAGGCCTCTGTACCATTTCTCATCTTTGCCTTTTACTGAACACAACAAACCAAGGTTTCCTGGAGTCTTCTGATTGTGCTCTATGGTTTGGTACTCATTAACTTCAGCCAGCTTCTTTGACATTTCCCAAAGATCTGTGTCCACACTGGTCATCTGACAGTAAAACAGCTCAGGGTTAACAGCAGCAGTTACACGCACTTTAGCACGGGTCCCACAACTCAATCTAGGCCCACAGAGAGACAGAATCTCTTCGTATCCCTGCAAACCAGACCGTTTGAAGCAGAATTCTTGTGCCATTGGCTTTTCAATGAGTAAGTCAGGAACTTGCTCTGTGCTTTGCTTGAGTGGCACCTCTGTGAGCATACCAACCAAGAGAAAGAAGGTATCTGTGTCCACATGTCTTCCGAACCCATGTCTTACAAGATCATTGTTAATTTCCGGGGCTTCCAATAGGAGCACTTTGTTTGGCAAAAAGGCTTTAATGTAACCTGTGACATTTCTTCCAATTAGGTTTGTGAAGTATGCATCCACTACAGAATGAGAACATCCCTGCGGTAATAGTACATTTGCAAGAAAGCCGCAAACTATCTTGGGAGGCAGGCTGAAAAGGTCGTTTGAGCAGGAATATATGAGGGCTTTGTCAACACTCAAGACATTACCAAGATCTATGAGGAAAACATCAAATAAGTCTTCTTTTCGGTTCTGAACTCTTCCTCTGTAGCAGCGGCCTGAAGTCAAATCTTCCACGAGGCAAAACTCTCCGATAGCCACTGAAGCTTGAGTCTTTGGTGTGTTCTGTATTTCCCCTTGCAAGATGTTGTAGTCAAGATCACATATGGAAAGGTAATGTCCCTGGAAGTGTATCAGGGTTGCTTCAGGGTTCCAGTCCAAGTGAGTTAACTTGAGGTCCGCAGACCAAAGGGCACATAGTGGTGATTGACCAGACCTGAAAATAAAGGTGACTTTTATTATTTACCTACAAAAATTATGTTAATCATTTTGTGAGTTTATCAATTCTGCCGATTGTACGATGCGTATCAAAGCCTGGTGTGTGTGTCGCAAAATAACTCCCATAGTTCCCACTTTATAACTAACATTCAACTAACTACAGTAATTATTGAAGCATTTCAATTGCTTTCTCTTTTGTTGTTGCTACAGTAGATTTACAAGTGATGAAAAACAAGTATTTAAGGCGAGACACGGCAGAAAAAAACATCATTTTTCAAGCACTGGTCAATTTTGAGATGTTGTGCTATTTTGATTCCATAACATGTTTTCTTTCAGGCTTTTGGAAGGAAAACGTACCTGTGGGCCATCTAAGCTAATTTACCGATGGCCCAGAGCCCAATAGAGATTGCCCTGAAAAATGCGCGCGGACGAAATGATACACGAAGGGTTTGGGGGGCCTCCCCCTAGAACATTTAGATTTTTGCAGGCCTTAGATGCTGTCTGGTGCATTCTATAGACTGAATTATAAGATGAACCAGCACAATATTATATTGTACCATTTCAATGTTATTCTTCATTTCACTTGTTTGTTTGTTCTTGTTTGTGTTTGCTCTCTTGCATGCCCTGCATAGCTATAAGAAATACTTAAGTTGTTGGTCAAGACACTTTCCATCTGATGAAGGCAAATGCCTTCCCAGATGTAAAAAAGTAGAAAACATTACATTCAGTTGTAACTGCCAAAACAAACATTATTTACACTATTATGGCCCCTGTTAAAAACGTTTGTAATGTTATCTACTGTAAGTTAGTCGAACGAATGCCTCCTCATCCGGAAAGTGACCGAGCAGACCCGAGCAGCAGTCGAGAGGAGCCGAGCGCATCCGCGAAGCACACAAAATGGCGACGTCAGAGTTCCCGTNTAAATGTTTTCAATTTCGTTCTCTTCCGTTTTGTCCTTAGTCTTTCTCCCACCACCGTACCCCCGGTGTGGGGGGAGACGGTCCGTCAAGGAGAGGACGGAGGTAAGTCTTGGTGGTTCTCCGGCGTGGAGGAGGTGGGGAGGTTTTCTCCTCGGAGGTCCGTGGGGGAGGTGGTGGCTACTCTTTCACTTCGTACAAAAATTAAAATGTCTCACAGCTAACATTGTTACAGTTCTGGACAGACTCATTTCCTGTGCAGATGGATAAGATGAGTCCAAACGATGTTGACGTTTACGTTTTATTCAACAGGGGAAACGAGAAAGGATTGCTTAAGTCTTTCATTTAAAAGTTTCACGGTCATCATAACGTGAGTTTATTGATTTCGTATTCGTCGTTTCTTCTATATTTCGTACCTTTTACTATTGGAATTCTATTGCGACTTTCCAAAACGACTACCACACCAATCGTACGTATGGGCCTAAAGGAGCGGTTTGAAAACCACCTACTCCCAGACCGGTATTCGGCGTAAGTTGATTCCACCGCGCAAGTGTGGCCTTCAATGACAACGGGCCTGTTCATAAGTACGCGTCTTCGAGCCTCTCAAATAACGCCCAGTGGTGGTTTTTCGGGGGCCTTGAATTTAATCAAATAGTCTGGTTAAAAATGGGGGAAAAAGTCAGGAACGATCTCTCATCCCTGAAAGCAGCTGTTTATCAAGCTATAAAGACTAACCGACCCGCCTACGTTTGGTGCGGGGCATTTAGACGACTCTTTCCAAACTTCGCGGTAACACTAAATGAGCGTAATTTTAGAGTCGCGTCGCGTGGTTGCTTCTCTAATGAAAACACTCTTCGTCAATACCCGTTGTGTTTTATTTAGTCGCCTCGCCACCTCCACTACTACTCCACAGCCGGTCGACACGACCTCTAACATGCAGCCTGCTGCGCTCAGGTCTCTGACAGATGACTTCGCTCAAAGGTTGCGCCACTTTTCTCCACCCCTCTTACTACACACGCCATCCATTCTGCTGTTTGTACCAACGTTGCTGTTGCTCCTGTAAGAAACAAAACTCATTCGTCACACAAAGCACACAAGTATCATTGTTGTCAATTTAAGGCGAGACACGGCAGGCAAAAACATCGTTTGTCATGCACTGGTCAATTTTGAGATGTTATGCTATTTTGATTCTATAACATGTTTTCTTTCAGGCTTTTGGAAGGAAAACGTACAAAATACACATTTAAGTGTTTATTTTACTATAGTTTGTCTATTTGCGTCTGTAGATATCTCCTAAATTCACCAAAAGTTAGCATTCTAACGTAACAAAGTACCGCGACCGCTGTTTGCACCATGTCATCAGAGGTATCGTTGGAAAGCTCCGTTTCTCCTGCACAATCGGATCCAAATATGGTCATTTCCTTTGTATCAGCATCAAATCGTGAAAGTACAAAGGGGTCTTAAACCAAGAAATAAAATCCCATTGGCTGGTGTTCATTTTTGACAACGGGATTCGTTCAGATGCGTCACGTGGTGTGCTAAAACACTTCCTGGTTAGCTTTCCGCTAGAAATTTTAATCTCAAAATGGCAAAAGAACGGCGAAAAAAACGTTCACAGAGAAGACAACAACAATTGTCACTTGCACGAAGCGAGGTTATACAAAAAACAAATGACCCCGAACATGAAATACCTTCACGGAGTGCGTCGATGCGCAAGCTATCATCCAAATAACAGGAGAGTTTAGGTAGCGCCTCACAGCAATCTTTCAAGGTCATTTTCTCAAAATGAGTTTTTCTCCTACTCCGAAATGTCCACTTCAGTAGCACGTAGATACACCAAACCTTCCAGTTATATTCCTATCAATATTATGAAGGCTTTTACAGAAGGGTTTGTTCATATATCATTCATAGCCTGAATTATACAACATTGCATACCTAAAAACATGGCAAAAATTGATATTTTAGGGCTGTTGACAGTATTTTCTGATTTATGGAGTGATAAAAAGAGATATCCAATATCCCTTCTGTAAAAGCCTTAGATACTAATATGACTACAAAATGAAACAACAATTTTGAACCTGGCTTTATCCAAAGTTCAGATTTTGATTCCTGAAATGTGTTAAAATATGCACATATTTAATGAGATAATGGCTCATTTGCATATTTAAACATGATATTTCAGAAAACTTATAATACAAAAAACAATTGCCTTACTGTAAGTAAATAACCGGAGAAATTTCTAGCTGATACCTTTAAGTTAAAAAAAATTACCCTATTCACCTGGGGTGTCTCGCCTTAACAGATTAAAAGAGGGAAATTGCACATTTTAAATATGGTTGTATTGTTAAATTAGGTGCTCGACTAAATGATATGCCACCGACTCCTCAAATGAAAACCTGGAAAGTAAATGACTAAAAAGAATCGTAACCTTAACTAATAGCTTTGATATCCAATTTAAACATAATATGACACACTATACAACGACAATAATGTTGAATCTAATTTAATCTATACTTCATACGGACTTGTCAGGATCACTTTGTTTTTGCTGCATCCATTTGCTTACTTTTGTTGTTCGGAGACTGACGACATGGCTGCAGCATCAGTAACATCCAAAAAAAAACCTGAAAGAAAAAAAGTGAAGATAAGTAAATGTCTCATTAAGTATCATTAAGAAACACACACACAATAAACCAGCGCTGACATTAACCTTCATATACTAAGAATGTGTAACTTAACACCCAACTTGGACATATAACCTCACTCATAAAAAGAAATCACTAAATCCTTGTCAATAATTATCTTTAAAAATATCTATAATGGTGGCAGTATATCATTTTTGTAACATTATTTAAGATAAGTTGTTGTAAAAGACCACCATAAAAAAGAATATCCTCTCAGTAATTACATTTTAGCGAGTGTAAATACAAAACACAGTACAAGTTGTTAAGACATATTACAAGTCCCATTGTATTCATGCTAGCAAAAAAACAACAATCACAAACTGTTTTTTTTTAATTGTCATGGGAATGTGCGATTTTAGCAATCTTGTTCATGTCTCTAAATAGGTTTTATTGATATTACTTGGACATTCATATTGTAAACATCTTGGTATGCCAGCTTTCTTTGAATACCATGAGACAAATTAGCAGGTTTTATTGATCGATCATCAAGCGGATGTATAACTTGAGCAACCTTGCTAATGTAGCTCCTATTTTAAATTGTATTGCTATTAAGGAGACATGCATATTGCATTCAGCTTGGTGTGCTAGCTTCATTTACATTACATGTGTAAAGTAACTAAGTACATTTACTCAAATAATGTACTTAATTACAGTTTTGAGACACTGGTACTCCTGAGTATTTCAATATTTTGCTACTTTGTACTTCTATCCCACTACAATTCAGACGTAAAAGGTGTACTTTTATTCCACTACATGTAGGGATGGGTACCGAGCCCCGGTATTAAACGGGCCCCTGAGCTGAATTATTAAGTTAAGCTCCGACGTTAGCGGTCTTTTTATCGGTACTGGAGACATGTAAAATATATGTCATATGTATTATTGCTACACAAACATATGCAAAATGCTTCTATGATTATTTTTAGTATTTTCGATCTCTCTCCCGTCTGTGTGCGAGGGGGCGGGGCAGTTTACACACATGCAGTTTACACACACGCAGCTGCTACATGCAGCAACACACACACGGAGGAGATGGCGGAGAGAACGCGCTCCGAGGTGTGGTTACACTTTACCCGTCTCGATGCTCGTTACCAAAAGTGCAATAAGAGTTTAGCATGTAAGGGCGGTAACACGAGCAATTTGTCTAAACATTTAGCAAAAGTGCCCCACATTCAGACGGAGGAATGCACCGGGTTCGACTGTCTTTCTAGTAGCTCTGTAGCCCCATCCACGAGTAACGTTTCCACGTCAGGTGTTATGTATGCTAGCAGCAACACACAGAGTTAACTCAATTATACAACACTGGGTTAATGATTAGAGGTAACTGAGTTATTTATTTTGTTAAAGTTTCAGCTATTCTGTTTACAATTCTGTCATCAGATTATTTAATACGATTTGTTAAAACGTTGTATATGTAAATAAAAAGCAATGTTAATTTTGTTCACAATTTGTTTAGTTAGTTTACCTTTTTTTCTCTCTCCAAAAGAACCGATAAGAGTACCGTTAAAAGACCGGACCGATAAGCGGTATCGATAAAAGCAGTAGTAGTTTTGAATTTTGACTTGAGCCGTCCCTTATAAATACTGTCTTTTTACGTTATTGAGCCGGATCATTTGGCTTGGCTCTCTTAAAGCGCCGGCTGTTTCGGCTCCCAAACGGCTCTTCATGTTACCACAGTTTACCACGGAGCCTCAGTTTCGCCACTGCGAGGCTCCGGCGCTCGCAGCTCACGCGCGTGCTCCACTAAAACCCCCCGCTCATCACGTCCAAATCGCGCACGTTCCGTGTTGTCCTGTTGACACCTTCGATGCCGGGGAAACGATCTTCAATACTCCGAAAAGAATCCCACCAGACTCCTTTGCCCCTCCAACTGAGGGATGTCCTTGTCCTGTTCGTCATTTCAAGAGATACAAACTCTCGATCTTCTCTCGAATTATTAATATTTTTGGACGCCCTCGGCTCTTGTTCAGGGTGTCCCGAGCTGAATAAGGCCGTCAAATGACGGCAAGACGCCCCCCTGGCGGAAACGCTGAACAAAGTCATTCAAACTAGCTGCACCTTTACCAGCTTTGAGAACACTTTAATGATCAATCATTATAAAACATATCATATATATATATTATTCTGAAATGGACCAATCTGCACAATGATTACTTTTACTTTTGGTACTTTAACTATATTTTGATGCGAATACTTTTGTACTTTTACTTGAGTAACATTTTGAATGCAGAACTTTTACTGTAACAGAGTATTCCTACACTCTGGTACTTCTACTTTTACTTAAGTGCAAGATCTGAGTACTTCTCCAGAAATACCATGAACACTAATGAGAAGGGTTTTTTCGATCGTCAATGTGAGGTATAACTTTTGCCATCTTGCTAATGTAGCTCGCTATTTTAAATTTGAGTGATATCACAGAATCACAATGATTTTTTATAAATGTCGATATTTTAGTTTGGTAACAGGATACTACAGAATACCCGGACACACCAAACGTGAGTCATTAGCCGTTTTAGTGACCGTGTAAGTTGACATTCAGCAGGAGTTAGCGGCTAAAACTTGCGACGAGCTAACAATGCTACTTCAAGCTAACGCTAAGCTACAGTGATGTAATGGTTCGGCTACACGTGTTTCGCTTAACATCACGGTCGGTTTTGTATCTCAAATAACCGTCAGTGGTTGTAAACACAGACTTCTTTCTGATAAAATCCAACCTTATTAACATTCAGGGCCGTGTCTTACCTTTTTTAGCGCCTCATGTCTGCAGCCTGTTGTGTAATTAACTTTTGGACATCCATGGCTGCTGCAACTCACTTCCGGCTTGTCTTCGACAAACGTGCTTATATTTCTTCTTCGTCTCTTTTTTGTTGGTAGGCAAATCTGTGTTGTTAATATCGGGGTTAAATCTTTAAAATAATATGCATTAAAGTTGTGTATGAGATACGACATTGCACATGAATAAGAGGTAAATAGAATGAAATAAAATACAAATAAATATACATATACATATCAGCAGGAGAAGATATAGAAAATACACAAAACAGTGAATATATACAGGGTGAATTGCCCTAATGGGGGACATTTTTTGCAGACTTCAGGAATATATTGCGATATGAAGCCAATACAATAAATCAAAATCCAGTACCATTCTGAAATCCCCAGGATGTGTCCTAATCAAACCAAAAGGCAAAACGCAGATATTACACTCATAAAAAAATGGTAGACATATCAGTACTCTTGGTGCCAAGTTGTATCTGCATTTCCTAATGTGGGACAGTTCTGTGCAAAATGTGGGACACTGAAAAGTCTATGTTAAAAAGCCTCAGTCACCTTAGTTCATGTAATAAAAACATCTCAGGTCAGTAACACTCAAAGCTAAATGTGCAATACCATGTTCAGCTATGTTACTATTTATAATGTTATTGTTGTTACAACAGAAGATGTTTTTCTTTAAATTGAAGTTAAATGCATCAATCCGGTGCACTTTGAGGGCAAAATTAAGAGATTTATGGATACAGCCCTCAACACTCATATGAAACAGAACTGTTTATAATTCAATAATCAAAAAACTATTAGAATATGCTCACAAGCAATAACACATCATTGATAAACTCCTCTCTCCTATCTTTATCTTACCTAGTCTGCATTCTTTCTTTTTATGCATATTTTACTAATCACTCCACTTTCAAACTGTGTTTTTTTACTGACCTATTGGGATGATTTCTTAACTTAAGTTATTTTGTACAATGTGTGTTGGAAGGATTTATTGAATTACTATGAATATTTGGGCTTAAATTAATTGCCATCTTTTAAACCCAGACATTTATCCCTATTATCCCTGACTTTGTCATACCATTTTAACAGAGCCCCCCAATTACCCCCAATTAAGCCCCAGATACCCCCAATTATTTAATATAATTTGCCCTTCACCTTAAATATCTAAAATAATGCATTAGAAGACTAAAGCCCTGTAAATAAACATAGCTCTTGCACAATCCATGCCCCTTTTAGAACTGTCCCACATTAGGCAAATCATACTGTCCCACTTTGCGAAACATGTTTCCTAAAGTGGGACGATAGAACATTTGATTGAAATAAAAAATATAGAGTAATTTACACCATATTATAATATGTTCTGATGAACAAACATATAATAAACACATCCTGATAAAAACTTGCAAGATTGTTTTATTTATACGAAATGTAAAACCTTAACATTACATTTGTCAAAACACTGTAGGCTCATCCCAATACCTCTCCTCGACTCCTCTCTTCCCCTCCTCCGGGACTTGACCCGGAAATCGATCAAGACCTCAAGACACGCCATTTTGAAGGACGTCCCAATAGCTGAAATGCACACGGAGTCGAGGAGGGGTGAGGGAGAAGGGGTGCGGGAGGAGACGAAAGGGAGGATACACGGGAGCAGACTACCCGGAAGTGTTTTCACTAC